CCATCATCACTCCTTTTGGTCTGTTCGAGTTCACGGTAACCATGTTTGGACTCAAGAATGCTTCGCAGACCTTTCAACGCAAGATCAATGATGTCCTAAGGGGTCTCGGCGCCCTTCCTTACATCGACGACATTCTCATAGCCTCGGACAGCATTTCTCAACACCTCCAGGATCTGCAGTTGGTTTTTCAGCGCCTTAAGGACCATGGTCTCCTCATCAACCTGGAGAAGTGCATCTTTGCCGTCAGCTCCATAACCTTCCTGGGCTACGAGATCTCGGCGCAAGGCTCCCGACCTCTTCAAGATAGAGTACAGGCTGTACTCGACTACGAGCAGCCCCAGTCTCTCTTCAGCTTGCGACGCTTCATTGACATGGTCAGTGCCTACCGTCGTTGCATCAAGGACGCCGCCACGCTTCTAGCTCCACTGCATCATCTGCTTCTGGGTGCCAAGAAAAAAGACATGCGTCCTGTTCCTTGGAGCGATGCAACGCTCTCGGCCTTTCATCAATGCAAAGAGGCTCTTGCGAATGCGGCTTTCTTGGCTCATTCTCGCTCTGGCGCACAGCTCAGAATCTCCTCCGATGCCTCCAACACTAAGGCTGGAGCGGTTCTCGAACAGCTGGTGCAGGACCAGTGGCAGCCTCTTGGATTCTTTTCGAAGTCCTTCTCGCCCACGCAGTAAGGTTATTCGGCCTATGATTGAGAGTTGACCGCTCTATTTCTTTCCATTAAACATTTCAAAGGCATGATCGAGGGCTACCCTCTTACTCTGCGCACCGATCAGAAACCTCTCCTCTCTGCATTTAAGCAGAAAATGGACAACGCCTAACCACGGCAGCTTCGCCAGCTCAACTTCATCGCGCAATTTTCAATAGACATTGAGCACATTGCCGGTGCATCTAACGTCGTGGCGGACTCTCTCTCACGGATCGACGAGCCTGCGTCGAACTCCGACGCTGTCAATCCAAGTTCCAACGGTCCTGCACACGCGTCTGCCTCGCTACAGAATGGCTCTCCTCCTCAAGTCGACGCCCTTCGACTCTCTACAATGCTCAATTTTGCGGAACTCTCGCAAGCACAAGCTGGAGATCAGGAGCTGCAGCACGTTCTTACAAGCGCTACCACTTCTCTGAAACTCCGCAAGCTCACGCTGGGACCGAAGAACTTAGAGATCTACTGCGACGTCTCGCAGAACGACATCAGGCCTTACGTGCCGGAAACATTCCGGAGGCAAGTTTTCGACCTCACTCATTCGCTTTCTCATCCTTCAGGTCGCGCCACCACCAAGATCATCTTGCAACGCTACGGCCTTCTATGTCAAAAGACATAACCAGATGGGCCAGCGTCTGCGAGCATTGTCAACGCTCTAAGATTGGTCGGCACGTGCACTTGCAGTCCAAGACGTTTCTGAATCCGGATCAGCGCTTCGATCATGTTCATATAGATTTGGTGGGCCCGCTGCCACCTTGCCAGGGCTACACCTACCTACTGACATTGATGGATCGCTTCACTCGCTGGCCGGAGGCCATTCCTCTCAAAAACATCACGGCCGCGAACGTGGCCACGCACTTCTACAGCAGCTGGATCGCACGCTTTGGCTGTCCAAAGTTCATCACTACAGACAGAGGCTCGCAATTTGAATCTGCTCTCTTCAACGTTCTCGCTCAACTGCTGGGAAGTAAGCGCATCAGGACGACGCCCTACCACCCTGCTCCAAACGTCATCCTTGAGCGCTGGCATCGTGTCCTGAAAACAGCTCTGCGCTGTCACAACTCTCAGGACTGGCTAGAGAAGCTTCCGACGGTACTTTTGGGTCTGCGATCGGTTTACAAAGAAGATCTCAAGGCTTCCCCTGTGGAATACCTCTACTGTTTCACTCTACGTTTACCAGGAGAGTTCTTCATAGATGAGCAGCATCCGGAGGACCACGCCTTCTTCTTAGCTCTTTTCAAAATTCACATGCAGCAACTCAGACCTGTGCCGGCTTCCCACCATTGCAAACAGAACACCTTTGTCTACAAGTCTCTCTACACCTCGTCGCATGTCTATTTGAGAAATCATGCAAAGAAACACACTCTCAACCAGGCATAATCTGGCCCTCACAAGGTTATCCAGAGGATCGACGACAGAGTTTTTCAAATCGACATTAACGGTCGTTCAGCCAACGTCAGCGTGGAGAATCTAAAACCAGCTTTCTTGCTTCGCGAGGAGCTCTCGGCGACGCCTCCAGCCTCTACGCTCGACTCCGGTGGCTCTTCCTCTCCGGAGACACTGTAAGCTTTTTCGCAGCGCCCTTCGCAGCAAGGCTCTGCTTCCATCTCTGAGACAGAGCGACCTATTCTCACACCTGCGGCGCCGCAGCCTTTTCCTACACGGCAGCAGACCCTACCCTCGCATCACAACGCGGTCTCTCCGCAAGCAACCCAGCAGCAGCAGCAGCAACAGCACACTACCTCGGTTGTTTCTCCAGCAGATAGAAAAACTAAGTTTGTGCCGTCTATTCTCAAGAAAAAACTAGCACAAATGTCAGTGCGGTGCAAGGTCCGATCAAGCATGTTCGCTTCAATCTTAAGAGAAGACTTCTGTGATCTCGACACGTCTTCCTTTTTCGAGCTTGAGCATATTTATTTTTCTCTACTTCGTCACTAATATATTATTTTGTAAATATTTATCGGGNCTTCTCCGGCAGATAGAAAAGTTTGTGCCGTCTATTCTCAAGAAAAAAACCAGCACAAATGTCAGTGCGGCGCAAGGTCCGATCAAGCATGTTCGCTTCAATCTTAAGAGAAGACTTCTGTGATCTCGACGCGACTTCCTTTTTCGAGCTCGAGCATATTTATTTTTCTCTACTCCGTCACTAATATATTATTTTGTAAATATTTATCGGGGTAATCCTAATCAAACAAGCGGCTCTTTCGCGAAGTTTCGCGTTAATTTAACGGCGATGGTCTTCACCGAATTTTTAACTGTAAGTTACTTTTCTTAGTGTAAGACAATTTCTTCTGTATCTTTGCGTATCATTTTTTTCGTGTTAAAAATTAACAAAAGATAATTTTTTAACTCTGGTAGGGGAGTGTATGTGGCGGCTATGCTCTATCTCGCTTGCATGCGAGCTCGCCCCCCACCACACGCCGGTGAGCTAGTCTTTTGTCATTGCACGGCTAGTCTTTTGTCGCTGTACGGCAGTAAAACAGTGGAGACTAGCCCGCCGTTAGAGCTGCATCGTTCTAGTGTTTCTCTACGTAATAAAAGAGTCTTTATCATTCTCTGTGCCGAGTACTCATTGCACATGCCTAGATTCTTCCCGGGCTATCCCTTCTAATCTCCACAGACGTTCGTCCCGCCCCGGCCGGCGGGGTGGTCGTTTCCGGTATCGCTGGTCGACCGTGTTCGGTGTCGGTAGCCCTGGCGTAGCTCGCCGGATATCCAGGCGTCCTTGTGGAAATAGTGTGTGTGTGTGTGTGTGTGTGTGTGTGTGTGGACGAGTGAGTGAGTGAGCGAATAAGTGAGCGAAGATTTGATATTAGCCGTTTATTCTAACGTATGTGCCACAATGTTTTGGTACAAGTATGATAGTGGCAAGCCGTGCTTTCCGTTCGCCTTTTAACGCCGGTAAATATTGACAGTGCCGGTGACGGAATCCCGTGTTTATCTTTCGGTCGCGTATTGACGGTTTGCTCGGTGTTTCGGCGAATCGGTGTTTTCCGGAATGGATCTAGAGCAGGTGTGTTATTCACTGCGAGGATCCCGCGACGTCAGCGAAGAGCGGACGCGGTATTAGAGTCTCGGCGTGTTATGTTGACGTTCGCGGTGTTTAAATCCGACGATCTCGCATCGGAGTGCAACGGCGGAATGCACCTGCTCGACTCGGCGTCGCGGTACGCGGTTCACGGTACGCAGTTCTCCGTACGCGGTTCTCGGTGGTTGCTGCACGCGGAGTGCCCGCGTCGGTCGACTCCCGGAGCGGAGGACACGCGGTATCGTGCCTCCTTACAGGAGCGGTGGAGTCGGCCGGGCGAGCCTAGCCGACGTGCAGCCGGCGGCGGTCGGTTCGCGGTTCGCGGCGCGGTCGGTGGTACCTCCGGTAAGGTGCGGCGGAGAGACACGCGTGGTCTCTAAGTACGCGGCGCGGTACGCGGAACGATATTCCGGGGCGTTCGCATGCCTCGGAGACGCAGAGCCCAACGACTAGAGTGGAGTGGCCGAGGTTGAGAACGCTCAACAGAGGCGGCTAACATACCACCCCGACTCGTGCCGATCCCCAGGTCTGCCGTGGGCAAGAGGGCCGGGAGCCCGGTGGAGATGGCGAACGTGCCGTCCCGAAATGGATGTTCTTGTGAATCCGGTGCCCGCGACTTCCACGGGAGAGACCGCGTACGCATGACCTCGGACTATCCGGATGGAAGGATTGTCGAGTCGGCTGCGAACTCACAGCAGCAACGGCGTACGCACCGTCGCGGTCCCTTGACCCGGGGGATGGGATCCGGAGCAGCTTCTGATCTTGCGATCTCGGCTGACTCCGGCGGAGTCTGGTCCCAGGCGGCGCGGTCTTTTATACCGCGCTTCCGCAGTTTTTCCGACACGTGCTCGATAACAACAACAACCGTTGTTGCTTACTCGGGCACGTGTCGGTCGCGTGCTTCGCGCGTGTATTTATTTGTTGGCGCGTAGCGCCGTTTCTGCGACCGACGGATGGTCGGTCGGTCGCGGTATTTGCCGGGGGAATGCATCGTCGCAATTAGTTGTCCGAATGTCCATGCAGGTTTTTCAGTAATTGACATTCAAATGCAAATTTTAGAAGGTTAGGTTAGTGCAATGTGTCAAATGCGTATATTTTCTGATAAGTAATGTTTTGACGAATATTTTATGCTAAATGTTGTTGTATCAAATAAAGATATTTTTATTCGCAACAGCCTGAAAATGAAAAGAAATAACGTATTTTTTTGGTATATAATGCTTTGTTATGTCCTGGAAGAGGATGGTACGCAACAAACGTTGCTTACTAGCGAGGCCTAAACTACTGGTAGGTCTGCAGATCAGGTCAAAGTCCGGAGAGGCCCATTTATTCCGATCACAGAACGTACGTTAGGTAGTCCTTTATTTAGGTCAAAGAACTTAATCTCTTTACCTGGGATAGGACCATATGAGAGTGTTGAAAAATTCAAATTTAAGTAATTGAAAGGAAATGAATAAATAATTATATAACAACTTGGTTAAATTTAGGGCATTTTGAATAAAACAGTTTATTAATTATACTAATAATATAATTTGGTTCTCACATGGATTAATAATAGTGGTAAATTGATGAGAAAAGTCATTGTAAAAGATACAATATTTAGTAGATGAAGGGGTTAGCTAAAGTTAAACAATGAGATATATGGGTTAATATTAAACAAACTTTTATAAATCAGCATTATTGGAATAATGCAAATACAAGATGAAGGCATAAAGTAAGATTAAGTAAAAAAGTAATCCGTGTAACTTAATATAATACAATCGGATTTAACGTAACAAGAATGTTTAATGCATCGGTATGGCGAGAAAAACATCATTATATAATACAAGGAAGATAATAATTACGCAGTATGTGTGTGTTTTGGGGAGTGAAGTGGGATTGGAGATTGGATTGAAATGATTAAAAATTATGTTTAAATATAAAATAGAGACTTACGATTTAAGTGAATCAACTGTGGTGAATAGTACGTAGAACATGAGTTCGTTGATCGTGGTGTACTAGATTTATGGGATTCCAGAATATCGAGAAAAATAGTTCATTTAAGAGATCCCGACATGCACAGCGAGTTGTTCGGCAACAGAAGGCGAAGTGAAAATGACTCACTGACTGACACTGACTGACTACGGTTAAATCGAGCGATTCTGATACTCGGACTAATTACCGGAATATCAGAACGAATATCTTTAAGAAATCCCGAGTTACGCACAGCAAGTTTCACAAAACGGATGGCACTGGAGAGATCCCGATCTGAACAACAAAGGCGAAGTCATGGCGGAAGCCGTAATGGCACAAACGTAAAAGATGTTGAAAACGATAATACGCGACAGTAGTCAAACGGGCAAAAGAAAGAGTATAAGTGCTCGCGGCAAGAGAATGAAGCTTATATAGGGAAGATTTCTGGGGTGGCGGATGACGATCGCCAATGAGAGGAGTTTGCGTGGAAAACGGATATAGAGGATTGGAAAACGGATACTCTGGAAAATTCCTAATATCATCTGGATGTCATAAATGATCCTAAGAATCTAATTCCATCAAAGGACCTGAGTCCGACCGACTATGTATGAAGGCGGATAAGATCGCAGACGCGTTGGGAAGCTCATGACACATTTGATGACGTGTAATCGTATCTTTTTAGAACAGCGCTTGCCCAAATCCGTTAGTTTCTCGATCATAAAAAAGGAATTTGCTGCTCTCAAGATACCCAGGATGTAACAACTACGTGCCTTACGTGGAGGCGGCAAGACCATCTTAATTATAGAAAAAAAAGGAATTCGTTGTTCCCGGGGTACCCAGAATGTAATAAAAATTTGTACCTTACGTGAAAGCGAAAAGGATGACAGACGCGTTGGGAAACACATGGCGCATTTAACGGCGAAACATCGTAATCTTATCCTTTTTACAATAGCGCTTGCCCGAAGTCCGTCTGCTTCCCAATCATATAAAAAAAGAGGAATTCGTAGTTCTCGAGATACTCAGGACGTAACAGCTTTTTATTTCCATAAGGGCAAAAAGGCAACGTAAACTCGAAACAATATATGTACTAAACTTTGTACGAAGAGTATGCAGTAAGCGAACGCATGTGTCAGAAATAATTTGCCAAATTTTGTTCAAAAGTAATGCACAGAAAAAATGCTTTTCGTTCTGGTCAGGTAATTACCACGGATGTTGACCTAGTAACAGCTTTAATCGCTTTTGATCGGCAAATAACAGTTCAGGAAACCGCAGCGAGATTAAAAGTTAGCAAATTAACTGTTTCGTAACATCTAAGTAAACTTGGAATGATAAAGAAACTTGATGTTTGGGGTGCACAATTTAACTGAAAATATATTATGGGTCCGTGTTTCCATTTGTGACATATTATACAAACGCAAAAAGACTCATTTTTAAATCAAATTGAGACGGACGGTGAGAAATGCATCGTTTACAATAACATTGAGCGAAAGAGATTGTGGAGTAAACGAGGTGAACCGCCATTAATTACTTCGAAACCTGGTATGCATCCAAAGAAAGTCATGCTTAACATTTGGTGGAATTGGAAGGAAATCATGCATTATGAGACACTACCGAACAACCAATCCATTGTTTCAGACAAATACTGTTTGCAACTGGACCAATGAAAGACAGAAATCAACAAGAGATTTCCGGAATTGGCCAATCGGAAAGGTGTTGTTTTCCATCACGACAACGCTAAGCCTCATTCCTTTGTAAATCTAATAAAAATTGCTAGCTAAAGTTGGCTGGGATGTTTTGCTTCACCCACCATGTTCACCCGAAATAGCACTTTCCGATTATTATTTTTTTTAGTCCTTGCAAAAAAAGAAATTAATTCTCTTAATAGTATAACTTTGCTTCGCTGGGATGTCTCGAAAATTATTTAGACAGCCTTTTCGCTAAAAAAAACCCAGGACTTCTACGAAAGAGGAATGTGCGCACGTGCTCTTGAATCTCTTGAGGGCAGAAGGGCATTCAAATTAACACAAATGAATTAACAATAACACAAATTAATCTTCAGTTTATTCCTCTTTTCAAGGGACGCAACACACGCGTGGCGGTTCCGCGACGCA